CGTTTGAATTAAATCTAATTGTTGAAGAAGATTTCCTAAATGTTGCCATCCATCTTCTTTCTTAAATTCTTTTTCTGTTTCTCCTACTAAACGTTTGAAAAGAGTCACCATTTTCGATACAACACTCTGACGAAGTTCTTTAATCTCAGTTTTTGAAATATGTTTTTCGATATCGATAGTTTGTAAAGCTTTGTCTAACTTATCTAAACATTTATTGATTTGACCAATGTCCAATTCGTCAAGTTTCGGTTTCTGAAATATTAACTGTGAGCCGTTTACAGAATGTTTCAAATGATCGAGAAGATACTCTTTTAATAATCGATATTTTTCCTCGATATATCCGTCACTGAAATGTTCATGTAAAATATTCACTGCACTAGATAACTTCGTCATACTTATGACACCTCCTTGAAATTGATCTTTAGAGATAAACTCTTTGAAAAGATCTATTTCTGTCTCAATTTTTTCTGTGAATAACTTTTGTACACTTTCATATTCATTACTAAAATCCGGAAAATTCTTGGCAACAAGTCGAATTTTATCGAAACTATTTTTCACGGATGGATCATCGATTGCTTTTTCTTTTAATTCATCTTCGATCTTTTTCATTAAACGAAATAAATACTGAATGAATGCGCCACTATGAAGAACTGTCTCATCGAAGTGATCATTTCTTAATTGTTCTGCTTGATTTGCATGATCAATATATGTTTGATATTGTTTAATATCATTTACTGTTAAAATATTTTCATCGATTAAACATCGATCTAACATTAATGTACCTTTTTCATATTCATCGGAAAGATGTTTACTTAAACTTGCGACACAACTTAAATAGATCTGTTCTATGTTAACTTGATTTAATAAACTATTTAAATATTTTATTTGATCAAGATAGTATTTTATGACAGAATATTCGTAACGCTGTATAGCTGATAGAATACTTAATTGATAGAGTCGAACTTGATTATTCACAATGTTTTTCGATTTATCTGTAATCGAAAATTGAAAAACTTCTTTGGGATCTTCAATGGCAGTCGAACGAAGTAGCTCGTAAAGAAATTCTTTAGGTTCATCTTTGACGGGATCTAAGACAAGAGTTTGTCGCTTAGTTTTTAGTAGCATATCTTCAAATAAATTCATAAAACTAATATCGGATTTTTCCTGTTCATTCATTGTTTCACTAATATTTATTAATGACTCATGAATTGTGCCTTTTTCAATTTCGGGATATTTTGTAAATATATACGAGAAGGCTCGAATTTCATTTTTAATTTTTGGTATTAAACCTGCTAATAAATGAGTCAGATTTTTTAGTCCTTCAAATCGATCACCAATTCCTTTATAACTAACTAAAACAACTGGTCTGACACTTTTACATTCTCGAATCGCTCGAATAATACTTATACCATTAGCAATATCGACTTCCGGACCATTGGTATCTTCAAATCCTGGTGTATCACATATGATAATACTATCCGAACGAGATGCTACAACACCACTCAAATCAACAGTTATGGGAATTATAAAACGTGTCTCGGATTTTGCTGAAGGTGATGTCGTAACATTTCTTAGATCGGGATTTTTCCAACTTGCCGCCATGATATGATTAAGACCTTTGATTCTTGTTGCAATCATTTTTGATCCAGCAAGAAAATGAAGTGTGGTCGATTTTCCTGCTCCGGTATTACCGAGAAGAAAAATAATATCCTTATTTTTAATAACATCTGCTGCATCATCGACTTTTCGTATAAATCGAAATAGATCATGAATATTTAATGGACAGATTTCTTTAAAAAGTTTTCGTAGTAACTTTAACGCTTCTTCCCAATTCTGATTTTGAATATAAACTGAAAGTTCTTTTACAGAATTTCGGATATTCGATAAGGATTTTTCTTCGGAATTCATTCGCATTTTTAAACTTTCAAGTTCCTTATTAATTGAATTGACATGTCCACTAGGATTATTTTGAGTCAATTCACAAGAAATATAATAAAGTAAACTGATTACTGATCGTTCGGAACATGATGGCATCGAATTCATATCATCATATAAATGCTGTAGACTTTCATTTGTTATTGATGCTTCTATTCGATCAGCATTCTTTTCTGTATCCCTATCTTCTACAGGGGTATCTGTAGTTGTTGGATGACTATCTGTTGCAGTTCTATATGGCTGACTATTTTCACTCGTAACTTCTCTAGGTCTATCAGTTTCTGATATGTTCACTGGTGATTGTGACGTATGAATATTCTCATAGGGATCTATGCACGACAAATTAGAAATCAGGGGATGATTACCTTGAGAATATAATGGTCTATCAATATTCTGCTGTTGTTGTTGTTGTTCTTCTTCTTCTTCTTGCCGATTGGTTAATTGAGTTGTTTCATTAGTCATCGTTGGAGATGAATCAGTTATGAAAGCTGTTTCTTTGACTAATGCCAATAAATATTTCTTTGTTAAATGTCCACTAATATTTTGACCACCAGGCTGTTCACATTTTCGTAATTGTAAATGAAAACGTTGAAAAATTGTATTGAATGATTGTTGTAATTGATCAGGAATACCATTATGTTCTCTAACTGGATTAATGAATTCGGCTCGTTCAACAGATCCATTTGTTTGAAATTTAATATATATACCAGTTAAATGAAAATTTCCCAAATTATAAGGAATTAGTACGATGCGTTGTCCAGAAGAATCATTCTTTGCCTTTACTAATCGTTCTTCTAATTCACCATCAACATGTTCCTGTGCAGTTTTTAAAACATGTATTGGTATTAAACTTTGTTCACTATTTTCTTCTTCTAATTCTTGTATTTGTTTCAAAAGATCCGTTTGAATATCCATGATTTTAATATAGTTTTCGAGTATTGAAAACTCGTCAAAGTTTGATGCAATTAAGATGTTTCACACTTTTATTCAAAAGACTTTATCGTTTAAATTTGATTAATTTTGAAAAGTTCTGATGAATAGTTTCTTTCTAAATGAAAATTGTACAATTAAAGTCAAAATTTCACTTCGAATATTCGAAAATCAATATCAACAAAGTTGTGCAATACTGTCAATAGCAAAATCAACAAATGAATTGTTGTTTCTTTAATAACGTAGGATACCTTGGGGCGGGATTCGACTTTTTTTGAGCCGAATCGTTTCCGCGTGGGTACCAGCCGAACTACG